GACATTCTGCCCAGTGGCCTGTCATCCTGGGGTTCAGGCCTCTGCTATGGTGACCCCAGGGACCAGGTAGCTCTGTTCTGTGAAAGCAAGAGGGCCAAGAACTTCTCCATGGGAGAAGCTGAGAAGATGAGACTCTCAGAATTTTGGAGATGGTTTAACACTGAGGAAAATGCAGCCCAGGGAGGGGAAGTCACTTTTCTAAGGTCACCCAGAGAACACATGGCATAGCTAAGACAAGAAATAAAATAAGAATAATAATATCCAACAACTGGTCAGAGTAGGTGGCCTGGAGAGAAGGGGAAGGCCAGGCCTGGGAGTGGTACAAAGGTGACCCACAGGCTGAGCCAGCAGGGGAGGCACCAGGGGAACGGGGCTCAGCAGGCTGCTCTGTGGCAGTGCTGTCCTAGGCAGCTTGTGTGTTTCGTTTCATTTACTATATATGATACCACTAGGAGCTAGATACCATTATTCTGCCCATTTTGCTGATATTAAAACTGAGGCACAGTTAGGATAACCTCCCAAGATCTCAAAGCTAGAAAGTAGGGAAACTAGAATGCAAAGCAGGTTCGTTTGGCACCAACGCCTGAGCTCTTTCTGCACAGCTCTGCTCATTCCCAGGCTAGAGGCTATTTCGCCACATAAGTCCTCCCTTCTTCCCTGCAGACCCCAAGTCAGGCTCCCTGGAAGGACACAGTACACCCCATCACCCCCCCCAACACACACATGCACACATACACTCACACACAGGCACACACATAGACACACACACACACGCACACTCCAAGCCGGTGGGGACCCCGTGAGGCAGGAAGAGGGCCAAGTCCATTAGTGCACCAAACACAGCACATATTTATGGCCCCAATTACAGCCTTCACCTCCCGCCGCAGTGGAAGAGCGGGTATAGTGACAGGAATAGTTGTGTGCACTGGGGTCTGAGGCCTCTGTAGCAATAACTACAAGATTACAGAGATGTTAGCAAACCCCGGTGACGGCGGCTCTATTATAATGATAAATCTACAGCTTTATATAGAAATAATGAGACTGGGGGCAGAGGAGGGGGGAGGGAAGAGCAGGGTGATTTTAGCCAATTGAAGCTCTGGTCGCACACGGTGGCAAATCCCTAGGAATGCCTGGGACGTCACCAGGGCACCTTAGATAAACCAGGCAGCAGGAAGGGCAGCAGGAGCATGGGGCAGCCCTCCCCGGGGCTAGAATGGTTGCGATGAACTCGCAAGATTTCCTTCCTAGGCCTGTGTTTCTTGATTTGGTAGAATACCAGTGGCCACCGCCCTCCAGGCCTGGTGTGCCTGTCCCTGGCCCTCCAGTCGGTGGGGCATACTAGCTGCTGGGCGGCCAGCCTTCCCTACAGAACGACCTGGGGTCGGGAAGTCAGCGTCCCTTGTGGCTTAAGATTTGCAATTAACGAAGAGCTCGACTCCCGGGCGTGTACCTCCCCTTCGCTAGCCTTGACGCTCAGGGTTCAGTGGCTATGAGAAAACGACACAGATGCTTCAGGCTTTGCTCTTTCAAACCAACAGGGGCACCATTCAGGGCACTTGTGTGACCACGGAGCGGCCTCCGGAGGCCCCTTTCTCACGGTGCCTTTCCTTCTGCTCAGCAGGTGGGCCGCCGGCCCTCTGCTTTGGTCCAGACTACCTGATCCGACCGGTTAGCCCTTGCCACCCCAGACACAAACCGTCTACGTGAACCACACCCCTGAATGAATGCACAGGCTGGGCCTCTCCCCGCCAAGTCTGGCTCTACCCATTTTCAAAATATTACTTGAGCTTCTCCTCCAGGAAGCCTTCCCAGGTAACCTCCCCACCAACTGCTTCTTTATAATCCTTTCCTTGGGTACCAACATATAGTTTTAATTATTAAGTAAGCCGCTGGTCATTTAACACAAACGTGCTGGGTTCTCACACTCAGCCCTGAGGGCAAATGCAGGGGAAAGTCAAATGTGAGACACAGCCATTTCTGAGCCACTGGGGGGACTTTACAAGAATATGATTCCAGACGTAGCTGAAAGAGTATATCAGAGGGGCAGTTGCTGTGAGACCAGACGGCCGCCGGGAGGGCGGCTTCGGGCAGGCTCTGGACACTGGATTGGTCTGGGCCGGGCAGAGAGGTGGGGGCCCGGCCTGCCTGACAGAAGGAACCTCGTGGGCAAAGGCAGGAGGCAGGAAGGTCAGGCATTTCCCAGGGACCTGCCCGCCTGTGCCAAGGGAGCTACCAGGGGCCTTATCTTGGATTCAAAGGGCAACTCTGGGAATGGAACCAGGCACTTGGGAGAAACAGGAGCTGTCACTGCGCTCATCTGCACTGTCGTGTACACTGAGTGCTCTGTCATGCCCAGTGACTGTGACTTGGGCCTCCCTGGCCCCCACATAAAATTGTATAGTCAGCACCACAAAACAGGGAAAAGCACCAGCTTTCTTGCGTCTCTTCCCCCTCCTCTGCTCGAGTCCTTGGCTGCCGGGGTGACGAGCCCGCTCCTGAGAACCATGTCTGCTGGCGAGGCTGCGAGCTGGAGGGTCCCAGGAGACTCACTGGAGAGGAACACTCAGCTCAGACTGCGAGTAAGACAGGGTGTCTGAGCATGGTCCCAGCTCTGCACCTCTGGAAACTTCTGGGCCTGGACTCCCTCTGCTCCTGGCTAGAATGCTGCTTCTTCCTCTGCCTATCAGGTTCTTTATATAAGTCCTAGTTTAACTGTCCTCATCCGGGAGAACTTCCTAGCTGTCCTAACTCTCAGGGATCTTGTAACTGCAGACAGTGTGTAGTATTTGTTGCCTTGCATTGCCAGTGATTGCATGAACATTTCTTGTCTCTGTAATTAGATTATGTTTCTGTGGGTTGAAGAGGCTATTTCCTCTCCCAGCCCCACCCACCCTCACCTCCAAGTGCCTGGCTCCGTGTTCTCAAGAGGAGGAGATGGGGAGGATTACAGTGATATTGACTGAGGATGATGGGGATGATGGGGATTTGTCCGGTGTTCTTTGGTTGATCTGCTTGCTTTGGAAGCTGAGCTAGGGAAATGGGGATAGGACAGGGGCAGGGACAGCCACAGCAGTTCTAGGGTATGGGAAGTTCGTGATAGGAAGGTGGGGGTTCTGGCGGGGAGCAAAGAGGCCCCTAGGAGGGCTGAGCTGAGCTCTGCTTCCCGCAGCCGCTGGCCTCACCCACCTACCCTGGGCCGTGGCCTCACTGTGAGGATAACTGAGTGGCTCTTCTCTACCTGTAGAGTCACTGTAATGAAGCCGCTGCCTTGGGAGACCACAAGGGACAAGCTACACCAGATGTAAACTTCAGAGTGATTTATGGAGTGGAGCTCCCATGCCTGGGGCCGGTGCACAGCTGCTGTTCTGATCCACCCCGTCTGCCCGCCCTGTCCGTCTGCAGCCAGCTGCTCATGCTGTTCTTAGGGACAGCATTTCAGGAAAGCAAAGGCGGGGCTAGCACTGAGAAATAGGACTGGACCGGTCAAAGTCAGTACCAGCTGTGACAACGGGGTGTCCCAGACACCCTTCCTGGGGCAGAAGCAGAGCCCATCAAGCTTTTCTTCTTTGAACAAATTGAGATTTGTACCCTTTGCCCACCAGAGCAGGGCTAATTCCCCAGGCCTCTCTCCCTCAACAATTCAACACAGAGATATTGAGTACTAACTGTCCAAAGGGAGGTCTGCAGGCAGAGTGGGGTCACCACCTCCCCAAGATATGGCACAAAGTATATCCAGGAAGACACTCAACCAGTTAGCACTCAAGGCACCAGATGCAAGGCCACTGGAGCTTGAGGGAAACACCCCTGTGAGCTCCCAGCTGCCTAGGTGGGCTTGGAGAGAGGGACACCACTACAGTTGCAGATTGCAGTTACGCAGCTTCCTCAACCCGGTGGGCCGGAGGACGCCATCTATGCCAAACCCAGGGGCTCTGGATGTGTCCTCTCCAGTTGGTTCTCAGTGCCAAACCCTCCCTCCCTTCTCTTAGAAGCCAACCTGAGCCTCAGTTCCTTGAAGCCTTCCCTGGTTAATCCCAGTTGATTGTGAACAGCCCAGCATCCACCTCTCATGTGTGGATTAGCCACATCTCCTTTTGGGCCAGCCTCCCTCATCTTCTAGTCTGCACCAAGGAGACAAAATGCCTAAGAGAAGGGACTCTGCTGTGTGTCGTCATTAGTGCTGTTCATTAGGTCTTTGCAGATCTCCTCCTGGGCACATGGCAGCATTACTTTCCCCTGACCCCTTGATAGTAGGAGCTTCCCTGTGTCTGTCTTGCTTGGCTAACGAATGTGAGTGGAGGTGACATGAGTGGCTTCTGCATGGAAGCTCTAAGACATGGTGCACGATTTGCCACATCCTCTTCCTCCTGATGTTTAACTGTGGGAGCACATGTCGAGATGGAGCCTCTGTTGGCTTCGATCCCTGGGTAACAAGGAGGAGTAGTGCCCCCAGCCAAGCTGCAAAGCTCAGTAACATGAACAAAACATAAATCTCAGTTGTCTTAAACCACAAAATCCTACGACTATTTGTTGCCATAGCATAGCTTGGTTCATCCTGATCGACTTAGCCTGTTCTCGACTGCCTATTCTAAGCTTCTGATACACATCAATGCCCTCAGTAGATGCTGCTGTCTGATTCAGTCTATGGGCCTGGCCCAACCGTTACTCATGATCAAAGGGACATACAACATAATTTTATAGGTGGCAAACGTGAGGCTTAGCAAGCAGTAAGAACCACCTCAGAACATGCAATCAGAAGCAATAGATAAAATTCCCTTCCCTTCCCATCTACATGGAAACTCTGCTGTCCACCACCCCAACCTGGGGCAGAGTACAAGGACTTCACCAGGGCAGGCTGGGCCATCGGGCAGTTTCCAGAGTCCCCTTCACATCCGTAAGGGCAAAGGCCATTTGTCTCTAGGGGGTGAAGGGGTTGGGAACATGTCCCACCCAACTCAGAACTGCAAATTCTCAGGAAGCCAAGGGAACAGAGCTGTACTCACACTCGTGGCATACTGGATGTCCTTCCAGATGGAGGTTTCCCGGGACAGGTCAGAGGCCTCAAAGAGGTTATCCAGGATGACCTCGCCAATCATGTCGTGGCGGGAGAAGCGGTCAAAGTCGAAGACACTGAGATGCAGCTTGCGGTCAGCCAGCTCCTCGTAGGGCACAGGGAAGTGGAAGTTCTCATCGAAGGTGGGGTTCAGGGTCTTGCGGTGCACCCGGGTCTGCAGCTTGCATTTGCGGTCAGGCAGGAGGTAGATCTTGACATAAGGGTCAGAGCTTCCACAAAAGTCCTTGGCAGGGAGGTCAAAGGCCTTCAGGATGCGCACAATCAGGGTCTCGCTCTCGTAGTCGTAGCGCAGGCTGAAGTTGATCTTCCCGCAGCTCTTAGTGGCCTCGGACTTGGCATCGTCCCCATCCACTGACTTCTGCTTGTAGAGCTCGGGCTTGATGCGGCCAATGCTGGTGGGCTGCTCTGCTGCTGGCGGCAGCTCGTTGCCGTAGTCTACGCTGGAGACGTGCATCTGCCGTGGCAGGTGGCGCTTGAAGGACGTGTGCCTGGCGGAGGGCAGGAGGGGGCAGAGAGAGTGTGGTCAGGGCTCAGGGGGAGGGCAGTGCTGGCGGCGCTGGCTCATCCTATGCCTTACTGAGCCCACTTTTCCTCTGCGCAAACTTTGCGTGCAAGGTTGTGAGCATTATGTATCTCTATATATGTAAAGTAGTTGGAATGGTGCCTGGTATAGAGTAAGCTCAATAAATGTTAGCCATGGCTATCATCATTCTTCCTGCTTTTCTGTTGCTTGCTTTCTAGGTTTCTTTCCTGGTAGATGTGACTCTGATTCCCCCACTAAACAGTGAGATCCCTTAGGGAAAGGACCGTCCTTTCTTATCCTCAATGTGGCACTCCGGTTGTCACCATCATCACCACTACCACCATTTATGGAACACTGGCTATATGGCAGGCAATGGAGTGGTCAGGCTGTATAGGTTAATTTTGGCTCTGCCACTTGCTGGTTATATGATCTTGGACAAGTTATTTAACCTCCCTGTGCCATAAAAATAATAATCAAAGATAATAAAAGTAGCAATTGCATAGGATTGCTGTGATGTGAAGTGAATTAACACATATAAAGTACTTAGTATAGGGCCAGGTGTATAATATAATGAGTGATCTATGTGTCGGCTCTTGTTATCAAGTGGATTCTTTCATTGGCTCCTCACAACACATTATACAAGTCATTAGCCCTATTTTACAGTTGGGAAAACTGAGGCTCAGGGAAGGCGAGCCACTGGCCCAAGGCCAAACTCTATCAGTGTGACCCCAGTACTTTCACTTCAGGCTGAAGACCAGGCCTCCTTCCTGTTGGTTGGCTCCCTGGGAGCCTGGAGAGACATTGCAGGGACCCAGGAATCCATAAGAGCCCTAAGTTTTAGTTAATACAAAGCCTCATGTATGCATGCACCACATCTTTTAAAGTGTTTCTGAATTTAGTGGGTTTTTGTCATTATGTGCTTCTTGTTGCTGCTATTTTCAGTTAAAGGGTGCCGTATACACAACTGCTATCATGCAGGGAACTCTGAAAGGTTTTTAAAGAATCCTCATCCTCAAACTGTTACCCTTATCTCCCATGCACTGCAGATGCTACCTATGAGGCCTCACTGACATATCCCTAAACACACCATGAACTTTTATGCCTCTGGGCCTTTGAATATTCTCTTCACTTTGCCTGAAGTCTCCTTCCAAACACCCAACGCACCCCTACCCTACTCTCCCATTCCCCCCACACCCACACACCACCTGAGTACACATCACATGCATAGCCCCCTGCCTCAAAGTTCTCTTTTCGTGACGTCTTTCCTGGTGGCCACCTCCTAGTTGACTGCCCATCAAAGATCACACCATCTGACATATTTCCCAATCAAAGGATACGTGTTATTATTTTTGTCTCTGACCCTCACAGGCTGAAATCTCAGTAATGTATTAAATAAGGGCGTGTGGATGTGTGGGCGTTAGGGAAGAGAGGAGTCCATCCCTCACCTGGTGGATGACGCTGGCTCTGTGGTTTGTCGCTGCAGCTGTGTGTGACGCATGATGTGCTCCTTGACCGACATCTGCACCTCGGCCGGGATATCTGGGGACGTGTGGCTGATCTTCACGGCGGCCTCCAGGAAGCCCAAGGTGCTTGGGTCCTTCAGCTTGTCTGCCATGTTGCCTCTGAGGCTGGGGCTCTGGAGGGCCTCCAAGGTGGGGTTAGCAGAAGATGGACTGGAGGCCTCCTTGTTCCTCCAGGGCATCCAGCACAGCTTCCAAAAGAGAAAGAGAAAAACTGCCACCAGGGCCACGCCACACACAATAACTACCACTGCGAAGAGGCTGACAGAGGTGCCTGCCCTCGGCAAGAGCCAGGCAGGGAGGGACAGAGACAGACAGAAGCGGGGAGAAGCAGGTGAGGGTTTTGGAAGAGGGGACACACAGAAGGGACAAAGACGGAAGAAGAGAAAAGAATGGTCATGAGAAAGCTGCCAGGTCAGAGGAAGAGACGGTTTTAGGATTGACTCTCGGTTGTCCAATTTGAGAAATATCTGCAATCTTGTGTTCACCTCAAGCATCATCCCCTACCCTCTGGCCAGCTTGGAGAGCACCTGGGTTGCCTCCCCTACTGCCTACAAAGGAAGGCAATTTAGATATTTAATGGCAGCCTAAGCAAATGTGCAAATTCATGAAGCGTTCACATTTGGATGCTGTTTGAATTTCTATTAGAGCGGTTACTATGGCCAGACTTAGAGTCGTTTTTGTATACAGCTCTCTCTTCCTTAACAGGCTGTGATGCCCTGGGGGCAGAGGCTGGCCAATTGGTCTTCTCTTCCTTATCCCACCCCCAAGGAGCCCAAGAGAGGAGCTCAATAAACACTGAGCTGACTTCGAGTGAATGAGATTGAGCATAATCTCTTTAATTTCTTCTGAACTCCCAGAACTCTGAACATAGTAGGCTCAATAAATACTTCTATTAAGTTAGAATCCAATCCACACAGTATATTTCAAAGCTAAATACAGGCACACCTTGTTTTATTGTGCTTCACTTTATTGAGCCTTGCAGATATTGCGTTGATTACAAATCGAAGGTTTGTGGCAACCCTGCAGCAAGCAAGTCTATCAGCGCTGTTTTTCCAACAGCATGTGCTCACTTCATGCCTCTGTGTCACGATCTGGTAGTTCTCACAATATTTCAAACTTTATTATTATTATTATTATATGTCTTATGGCGATCTGTGATCAGCGATCTTTGATGTTACTATTGTCATTGTTTGGGGGTGCCATGAACTGCACCAGTGTAAGCTGGCAAACAGTCGATAAACGTTGTGTGTGTTTTGACTGTTCCACCGACTGGCTGTTCCCCTCCATGGGCCTCTGTTATTCCCTGAGACACACGATGTTGAAATTAGGCCAATTTATAACCCTACAATGTCTGGCCTCTAAGTGTTCAGGTGAAAGGAAGAGTTACATATCTTTCACTTTAAATCAGAAGTTAGAAATGATTAAACTTAGTGAGAAAGTCATGTCAAAGCCGAGACAGGCCTAAAGCTAGACCTCTTCGGTCAAACAGTTAACCAAGCTGTGAATGCAAAGGAAAAGTTCTTGAAGGAAATTAATGGTGCTACTCCAGTGAACATACAAATGATAAGAGAGCAAAACAGCCTTATTGCTGATATGGAGGAAGTTTTAGTGGTCTGGATAGAAGATCAAACCAGTCACAACATTCCCTTAAATCAGAGCCTCACCCAGAGCAAGGCCCTAGCTCTCTTCAATTCTATGAAGTCTGAGAGAAGAACCTGAAGAAGAAAAGTTCAAAGCTAGTGGAAGTTGGTTCATGAGGTTTAAGGAAAGAGGCCATTTCCATAACATAAAAGTACAAGGTGAAACAGCAAGTGCTGATGTAGAAGCTGCAGCAAGTTATCCAGAAGATCTAGCTAAGATAATGAAGGTAGATACACTAAACAGATTTTCAATGTAGAAGAAACAGCCTTCTGTTGGAAGACGATGACATCTAGGACTTTCCTAGCTAGAGAGGAGAAGTCAATGCCTGGCTTCAAAGCTTCAAAGGACAGGCTGACACTCTTGATAGAGGCTAATGTAGCTGGTGACTTTAAGTTAAAGCCAATGCTCACTTACCATTCTGAAAATCCTATGGCCCTTAAGAATTATGCTAAATCTACTCTGCCTGTGTCTATAAATGGAACAACAAAGCCTAGATGACAGTCCATCTGTTTACAGCATGGTTTACTGAATCTTTTAAGCCTGCTGTTGAGACCTACTGCTCAGAAAAATAGATTCCTTTCAAAATATTACTGCTCATTGGCAATGCACCTGGTCATCCAAAAGCTCTGATAGAGCATACAACGAGACGGATATTGCATTCATGCCGACTAACACAACATCCATTCTGCAGCCTGGGGATCAAAGAGTCATTTCAACTTTCAAGTCTTATTATTTAAAGAAACACATTTTCATAAGGCTATGGCTGCCATAGATAATGATTCCTCTGATGTATCAGGGCAAAGTAAATTAAAAATCTTTTGGAAAGGATTCACCATTCTAGATGCCATTGAGAACATTTATGATTCATGGGAGGAGGTCAAAATAGCAACATTAACAGGAGTTTGGAAGGAGTTGATTCCAACCCTCATGGATGATTTTGAGGGGTTCAAGCCTTCAGTGGAGGAAGTAATTGCAGATGTGATGGAAATAGCAAGAGACTAAAATTATAAGTGGAGCCTGAAGGTGTGACTGAATTGCCGCAATCTCATGATAAAACTTGACTGGATGAGGAGTTGCTTCTTATGCATGAGCAAAGAAAGTGGTTTCTTGAGGTGGAATCTACATTGTTGAAATGACAACAAAGGACTTAGAATATTACATATACTTAGTCGATAAAGCAGTGGCAGGGTTTGAGAGGATTGACTCCAATTTGGAAAGAAGTTCCACTGTGGGTAAAATGCTATCAACCAGCATCACGTACGGCAGAAAAATCTCTTGTGAAAGGAAAAGTCAATTGGTGCAGCAAACTTCATTATTGTCATGTTTTAAAAAATTGCCACAACGACCCCAACCTTCAGCAACCACCACCCTGATCAGTCAGCAGCCGTCACCATTGAGGCAAGACCCTCCACCAGCAAAAAGATTATGACTTCCTGAAGGCTTAGATGATCATTAGCATTTTTTTAGCAATAAAGTATTTTTAAATAAGAGTATGTACATTTTGAGACATAATTCTATTGCACATAATAGACTACAGAACATAACTTTTATATGCACTGAGAAACCAAAAAATTTGTGTAAATTACTTTATTTTGATATTTGCTTTATCATGGTAGTCTGTAACCAAATCTGCAATATCTCTGATGTATTCCTGTACAAATGATTTCTATAGCTGTCCTTTTCCATTCTTGTGGCTATTCAAGAACTTTGCTGTAAAACTGGTATTTTTGAGCGTTGTGATGAGTTTGGAGGTGGGCACTCGCTGCCCAACCCCCAGCCCTCCATGACTCCAGTGGAATGGCCATTATTCCAGGAGAGCTGGGAGGGATACCTCCCTTCACAGGAAATGATTAAGCAGACCTCTCATCTCACTTCCCTCCCCAAATCTTGGAATGAACCTTTGAGCCCAAGGCCTCTTCTTGCTCTGAGTAGAGAAACCAGAAAGCTCTGAACCAATGGCACACCTGGTAAGGCTTGCAAAAAGGTCCCTTGTGGATAAGCCGGCAGAAAAGTTTCATTCGGCTTGCATAATAATGGAAAAGTTAAGAAATTCCATCATCATTAGCGCCCCAGATATCTGGCTTCTCTGGAAAAGACCAATGACTTGGTGACTGCACCTGTGCTCCTGCATGGTGGAACCCTTTGTAGGGGTGTGTCCTCACCAACTCAACCCTCAACTCCCTGTTCCCTGCCTGGTCCTGCAGCCTTGTGGGTTTGCAGCCCTTGGATCAGCCTGTCCCAGTGCCTTAAAAATCTTACCATTTTTGAAACACGGACTTGCGGGGGGGCGGAGGGAACCAAGGGCAACACACGTAACCTAAACATCTGTACCCCCATAATATGCTGAAATAAATAAAAAAAAATTAAAAAAAAAAAGAAAAGAAAAGAAAAGAAAAAAATCTTACCATTTAAGGTGAGAATTGACCCCACAAGTACTGAGGCCATGCTGCGCTTTTCCAGATGGGAGCAGTGGTCCAGAGAAGGGACTCGCCCGGTGTCACGGGTTGGTCAGACACAGAGCCCGGACCAGAGTCCAGATGCCTATTTGTCTCTGATTAAATTGTAGGCTACTGTAGGTTACTATGACCTGTGTTTTTCCTGTTTGTCTGACCCAGGGCCTGGCATAGAAACTGGCACATGGGAATGAATGAGTGGCACATAAAAGGGCTGTGATTATCTCATTTCAATTAAGTTCAACGAACATTTCCTGGGTACTTGCCATGTGCCAAGTTCTAAGCTAGGCTTGGGGTGCATAGATGCCCAGGTCCCTTCTGGGGGGATCCAGGGTACTATCGCAGCACACAGGCCAGGGAAAGCTGTCCCACATCCACAGGGATCTCAGAACGAGGTGAGAGCATCGGCCACTCTCTCTGGGAAGCCAGCGCTGCCTTCTGAGTCCCTTGCAGCAGTTATTTGCCTGGATCGGACGCCTCCTCCATGTATAGGGAAGGACAGCAGAGAATCCTCGAGTCCTGAGCCACCTACGACCCCCCATCCCTCCCCTCCACCCAGCTCCCTGCACGGAGACATTGGAGCCTTTTCCCGGCCAAAGGAGCTGGAGTTAGTCCTTCACCTAGACACTGCCAGGGACCAAGAAAGCTGATTCCAAGTTAACTTCTAGACCAAAGGTCTCCAGTGAGGTATGCATGCACCTCAGGGGGCACAGGGGAAAAAATCAGGTCATTTTAATACTTATTTATTATCTTAAAATAAAAGAAATCCAAACTTTGATATATAGGTTGAAAACAATAATGGCATTTTATTATCGGATTTAGTTCATTTATTCAACGTTACTATGTCCAAAGTTCAAAGTATTCTTTATATATTTACTCATTTAATCCTCTCCAATGAAGCAGATATGATTATTACCCTCATTTTGCAGGTGTGGAAACTGAGACACAGAGGGTTAAGTAAATTGCACTGGTCACACAACTAGAAAGTGGTGGAACTGGGCTGCAGCCCAGCCAGTCTGGCTCTGCAGTGTCACCTTTGTAGAACATGTATATACGTTGGGAAGAAATAAACATATATTGGTGGTGCTAAGTCA